GGTGTAAAAGCAGTGCTTTAAGGATTTCGGAAGCTCAATGGAAACATCAAAGTTTGGGTGCGGCCCTCGGTGTTAAATCAAAAATTTTATATATATATATGTATGTATATATAAAGAAATGAATCAAACCCCCAGTTGAGTCAGTCCAGCACATACAACTTGCAATGAAGGTGAACTTTATTGCCAGCATGTAGGCCTCTAAGTATTGCAGCCGTTTTAAATTACACAAAAGATGTCATACATCATGGACTAAAGAATATTCTTTACTCCATGCATATATAAAGCAAGTATTTGTAACAATGAGACAATAAGATACCATGCCTTTAGGCACATAATACTATTGAAAGCGAAAAAAATTAATCAAACCCCCAATTGAGTCGGTCCAACGCATACAACTTGCAATGAAGGTGAACTTTATTGCCAGCATGTAAGCACCTTGACAGCAAGAAATCACATTTTAATTCCCGCCGCCAGGGGCACATTTTCAAACAGTTGATAAGAAACTTATTTTTTGTTTGATAGGCTATTCCCGATACGATACTCGCATCACTTTATTCAAGCTCTGTTTTCACCATTTTTAATTATATAAACAGAGTGCTACACACAAAAATTAATTATATTTTTCTTATAGATTTAGAAAAATTGGTGCATGGGAAAGTGCAATTTGGCCCTGGGCTTCCAACTCCATTTTGTAGTCACTTCGTGGTGTTATTCTGTGTAGTGTTAGCTGTGCGAGCGAAATCCAACGTGGCAGTTGTCGGACTTCTTTCTAAATGGTGTTACTTCACTGCCATAGGCAGGTCTCACTATGATTATGAGATGTTTGATGATTGCATGATATCCCTAATTATACATACACAATCTTGATTCACAGTGCTGGTAGTTTACATATGTAAATATGAAAAAAGAATAAATTTTGGCCGCCATCTTGATATCCTATATGGCAGCCATCTTGAATTCAATAATGGCAGCCTTCTGACATAATTTCTGATATCTGCATGATACTCCCGGATATCGAAAACATGAGTAGAGATCTTTGACAGTGCTAGGGGTTGTGGATATGACGATATTTACAATTATCAATAATTAACTTGGCAGCCATCTTCAAATAGTATGGCAGCAATCTTTAAATTCAATGGTGGCATTCTGACATAATCTCTAATGGCTGCATGATAGTCCTTGATATCGAAAACATGGGTAACAGTCTTTGATTGACAGTGCTAGGTACTGTAGATATGAATATTGACAAAAATAGCAATAATTTGGCAGCCATCTTGAAATCCAATATGGCAGCGCCATCTGACATAATTTCTGATGATTGCATGACACTCCCTGATATTGAAAACTTGGGTAATGATCTTCATTTGGCAATGACATGTGCTGTAGATATGAATATATTGGCTAAAATCATATTTTGGCGGCCATATTGGATTTCAAGATGGTGGCCATTAGGAGGCGTTATTTTTTGGGTCTATTTTTTTTAAAATGATCTTTAGGTGTCATAGTTATATCACTGTGGGAAGTTTCATGCTTTCTTCCAGAAGTGCACGATTCTACCTGAAATTCAACCTTAGCCGCTCTAATATAATAATAAGGCAGAGTAGCATGTTGTAAAACTAAATAATAATATACTGCTATCATCCTAAATAAGAATGAATAAACAGAGAAAAGAAAAAAAAAAAAACCAAAAAATTAATTATTATCAGTTGGATAAATAAGCCAAAAATAATAACTGCCAAACCACCCAAACCAAGCATCCTGAAAATGCTAACAAAACAATCGGACGGAAGGAGAACGACCTCCGTTCATGATGAGATGAACAGAAGACCAAAAACTGGATGTCATAACAAAAATGTACGGCTTAGCTTTGCCTCAGATAGCTAATATATTAAATAAGTTTACCTGTTGCAACCGCTGGTTCTGCTTCTCGTTCAGATCTCCTAGTCTGCCACTCATCTTTGCTTGAGTTTTTAAGGGACGGGATAACAAAATAACAGAAGGAATGTTTTTATTCAGCACCTTAAATTAATACTGTAATACCTTCAAGCTTTCAAAAGCACATCTGGACGATATGCTTTTTAATGGATGGAGGTTTATCGACGAAACATGAAATCCGGAACTTTCTAACACACATGTGCACGACTACTTATTACGCAGTGTACCACAATGATAATAACATAAATATTAGATAAATATTAAGATAAAAACAATGAAACCCGGGGTGCGAGGTACCTGGTTTTCTTGGAACACACCATTATGTTATAGGGATTTACCTACTATTCTATAGTGATTTTTAAGGTAACCACCAAATAAGTTCATGCACATTCATGTATTAAACGTTTTATATTTACAGCTGAACATGTAATTCATAGAATTTGTGGATTAATGTAAGACAAAAAGGTTATAAACTGAATACAGCAGGTTCAATTTACCATTCATACAGAAAAATCTTCCCATGCGCTTGAGGACGCCCTTCCACATAAACATAGGCGACAAAATGTCTGTAGAAATGAGTCTAATATTTAAAAGTTTCAGCTTGTTGAGTGTGCGCTATAAAGTAGTTCCCGCATTACAAAAAGAGTGAGACTTGCAAATACAATAGTTAATTATTTACGTATTATGCAAAGAAAAACAACATACATTAACAGGATATCAAAAAGTAAAATTATAAATGACAAAACGCTGTCTTGTGGCTAATTTAATTGCTAATTAAAACATTATGTGTGGGCTGAAATCTATTTAACGAAACGGAAGTCAGAATGCACAACGCCCTCAATTATCTGAGCTTGTTATACTCTGTTGTCCAGCTTTTTGATTGCAAAAACCGCGCGAAGTTTTGCAAATGAGGTTCTTGTTTTGCATTTTAATTTTTTGTAAATAATATTAAAGTACATTACGTAAAGATTCATTGATAGGCTGTCTACAATGACTACACAGGCAAGTGAAGAAGGTACCTCCAAGAAACCAAGAAAATCAAGTTTACACGTGCCATGGTAAATGAACCATTGATGAAAGTCTAGCCAGGGCCTACTGGGGGCCTAGGCCTAGAAACCTAGAGGCCTAGTTTTCATATGCCTAGCTAAGCTAACTTACTAGGCCTAGGTAGCCTTAGGCCTAGGCAGTTAGTATAGTAGGGCCTCCCCTCTCTAGCCTAGGGCCTAGGTAGGTACCTGACAAGAAAATTCAAACTTTATGAAACAGATCTGAGATTGACTTATTCATCAAAAAATGTAGAAAATTAAATGCAATTTAATGTAAATGGTATAAAAGTTGTGAATATCCATCAACCCACTGATTTTCTATGATTTTTAATTTAATTAATTTAATTAAAATGTCAGAATAGGCATTTTAATGTTAGTAAAAAGAAAAATGTGACAAAATATGTTAAAATTTTCTGCTAACCTTAGATCTGAAGTATATATTTATTCCTTCTCACTGCTGGGTATCTGAGATATGTTCCTTTCATAAACCTAGCAAGTGGAGAATTTGGGTTGCTGACAGAGAGTGAATGCTGTCTCTTATACACATCTAGACGTGTAAAAGAGACAGACATAATACTATTGACAAATAATTGGAATATTGTTTGCCAATAGCCTTCATGAATCTAATTAATTAACATTTGCTCATTTTCAGGTTAGATGACATAAGTTGGCATCAAGGATTGAATGGGTGTGGAAAGGGGAGGGGGACCGGATGGGTGGGGAGGGGGACCGAATATTTGATCCCTGTCTATTGTGGGTTAAAGCAAATGCGACTGGGACATTAAGGTCCAGGCATTGCCCCTGTTACCACCACTAGTTTTATAAACTTGTTTGGTATTAGTAGGCCTAATATATCACTATGGATAAAAAGGGAAAACCGTGCTGCATAGCAAGCAATAATTGGTTAAGTAAGCACTTAAACCATAGATGGAAATAGAGCCCAGGTTCTATTCCATCAGCAGCATCTCTCCCTGTGAAATACATGGCACATTGCCTTTCAGAAGAGACGTTGAACTTGGTCCCACATACTAGGCCTACTATTCGAAAAAGAGCAGGAGATTGTTTCCTGGTATCTGCCTCTCACATTTGGAGGGGCACTGAACGACGGCTCCTGGCGCAACAGCACAGCGCGACTGTACGTAAACGTGTGCCTGTGGGACATGCGTGTATTTCTGACATTGTTCTGTTTGAACATCTGTTAAGTTTGGCTGAGGGGGTATTGAGCTGATTCTGTTTTCAAAAGTGCCCCCCCCCCCAAACAACCAGCATATTGTTGGAGAGCACTTTTCTTATATACTTTGATTTTTTTACTGATTTAGCACTAATTGTACCTTGTATTTTTATGACAATAAAAGATCTGTATCTGTATCTTCATTAATCAGATCTGGAGCGGGTGGGGGAAGAAAAAAAAACATTAATCTACCAGCCTAGGTACCACCGCACGCTCTGATTGGCCAAATTACAAAATGATCACCCAAGCTAATAATGTTCATAGGCTGATTTTTTGAATGAACTTAAAATTATCAAAAATCACTATAATCAACATACTGTATTTAGAAACAAGAGCATAATTACAAGTAACAAATAGTATATAATGTACTAATATTACATGCTATATCTACTATTTATAATATATTTGGTGTAAAAATACTAGGTATTTTTTATTCGATCCGTGGTCAGCGCTCACACAGCTAACACTACACAGAATAACACCACGAAGTGACTACAAAATGGAGTTGGAAGCCCATGGCCAAATTGCACTTCCCATGCACCAATTTTTCTAAATCTTGGTCAAATGATGCAATATAACATACTAATTATGGACCTTATTATCAAAATAATGGACGCATTTTCGAATGTTGCAAACCTCGATATAACGTCAGACAAATAAAATGGAAAAATAACAAAGCTGTAGAATAACTTCCGCTTGACATTTTCAGGTCAAAACTTCAGCAGTAACCAATCAAAACCGTAATTTTACGAATTAATTACTAACAGCTATGCTGGGCCGCTGCTGGCTCGAGTCACAAATTTACACCGACAGCAAAAGTGGACGTGTCAACGTAACTTGCAGGTACCTATTCTAGGGTGTAGGACCTTTCTTCTGGCAGCGAACTAGCATAGGCTAGGCCTAGTTCGGCCACGATGCGATGTATGAAAAGGAATGCTGGTCAAAACGGCAATAAACCAAAATGGCAATAAGTCAAAACGGCAGTAAACCAAAATGGCAACCAGTTATGAACATGAACTTGATTAGATCAGACATTGGAATCGCCGTAAAGTTGAAAATGTAAAGCCCATTCTTTAAACTTGTTTACTGTCGCTAAAAATAAACAGCTCGCTAACACAGCGGTTCGTCCCTAAAGAGACCCACCCAGTGGACTGATCGGGTCGTTAATTCACAGAGTGTAGACTCGCATGTTCCACAGATGCGGCTAAAAATAGGCAACACCGTGGTCTGTCCCTAAAGAGACCGCCCAGTCTTTTGAGAACATTTTTCAGAAAAAATTAATGTGATGCGACCCTTCGTTATGGACTTATGAATTTTTAGATAACATGAGGACAGGAATTTAGCTTCAAAGCTTATCTTATTTCTGTTGGTTACGCACCACTGACGTTGGTTGTTTATCATCACTTCAAGATGTCTACCAATTTGTGGAAAAGGCGTATTATTATATTTTTATAGGCCTAAATAGGCCTAGGCCTATGTGATGTGTATTGTTGACCTATAAAAAGTAATGAATAAAAGACTAGGAAAAGCAAGCAACATGTTTTACTTACATCCTGTCCCCAAGGAAAGCCAACTATAGGCCAGGTGGCGCTAATACGGTTTCACATCCGGCCATATAAACAATTACCCAATGATTATATAACACGTACAATTATTCAACACTAATAGAAATATGAATAGGCCTACTACTACTTTACATTCTTTCGGGTGAGAATCTTGACTGCTGGCTCTTTTTGCACAGTCCGCCTGAGTATTGGTGGATGTGCAACCTGGAGCCCACCTACAGTACCTGGCAAAGTGCGGGTAAAAATGCACTGCCCGCGGTTGGTAATATATGTGGGATTCCAAATTAAATAGTTAACCTTACTAAGTTTAACTTAGTTAATTTCCCCCTTTTAAAGCTTCTATGAAGAAACAAAGTAATAACTAAAAATATTCTGTAATCTTCTTCCATTTTGTTTGCACTTTCTATCTACCAGGGTTGAGAAATATCGACCAATTGAATTATCGGATGTCATGGGTAACCAGGAAACAGTAAGCCGATTGGAGGTGTTTTCACGTGAAGGAAATGTTCCAAATATTATTATTGCAGTAAGTAGATTGTTGCACATCAAAAAGTTGTAGGTTGATGGTTCTTCAACTTATCAATTTGTTTTCTTTTTTGACAAGTGGCCAATAAATTTTTGAGAAAAAAGATATTTCTACTTCTTCAAATAATTATTATGGGTGTGATGATGTGAATGGGAATTATACATTTTTGTATTTTTTTTTTTTTTTGGTTTGGTTTGTTGGAAATATTGTATTGACCTCATTTATTTGTGTGGTAGAAGCTTTCTTTATTACACTACTATCAGTTTTACTATTTATCCTGTTCTGACTCTTGTTGACAGGCTTCCAGCTTTATGCGATGGTATTTTTTCATGGAGTCCAAGAAAGCAATATGCTTTTTTCTATTTTGTTTACATTAAATTTTAGACGATATTTTAAAAGGGGTTACCCATCTAACATTATTGATTATTAGTTTTTAACTACTACATTCTCAACTACAGCAGTCACTCCATAGGATGTATACCTCTGCCCTGCACCTGAATACCAACAATAAGCAGGCCATATATGATGGGAGAAACTGCAGCATATCACATGTACCCTCAAGAAAATAATGGAATTGCCGATTGCATTCAGTTTCATTATTTTCTTAAGTGCTGCCTTTAATACGAAGGGAAATTCCCTTATTTCTTTTTATGCTCTAGGGTCAATAATTTAATTTTGTCCTTTAACCTTTCCTCCGAAAATTAAATGGTGTCTTTCTTTGATTATTATGTACCATTCCACTAAATTTTATGATGATCCATTCATTAGTTTTTGCATAATCTTGTAAACAGACAGACAGGAAAAATGGCAGCCTGACAGACAACATTGAATGTATAACCTCCTTGGCGAAGGTAATTAACAATTTTACTACTTTCTATGCTTTATCAAGGGTCCACCAGGAACTGGAAAAACTACAAGCATCCTGTGTTTAGCCAGGAAGTTGTTAGGTTCTGCTTACAAGGAAGGTGTTCTGGAGTTAAATGCGTCCAATGATAGGTGAGTGTATTACAGACGGGACCAGTCAATTTGAGCAGATGCCACTTCGAGCAAATGCCATTTCGAGCGGATTCAAGCGGAATTTACTTTGAGCGGATGCTAGTTCAAGCGGAAAAAAGAACCACGTATGCGAACAACAGCCTGTGCGAGTTATGTACGAATTACTTAAATATGTTCTATTTTGAACTAACAATTTGCATTCAGCTGAGGCTCAAGCTTTGCCTGGGAGCCAAGGGAAAAGCCCTGGTGGGTTCTGGCCTATATTTTATTGATTTTTAGGTTAACAATTTAAAATTAAACATACCTGCATTCTTACAAATAATGATTTATCTTAATCTTTCTTAGTCATTCATAGTTGTTATTTATTCCACTCACTTTTAAAAAGTGGATAAGACAATATAATACATACTCCAATTATCGAAATGCATGCCATCGTGTCTGGATTCAAATCCCGACACGATGGCGTGCATTTCGTTACTTGGAATATGTATTATACTATCGTATCTGAGATTAATCAGTGGACCTTTCGGTTTTTAAGAAAGTGGGTTTTGAACTATAGGCAAATGGTGAATAGTGGGGAAAATTGACATTATTACTGTACAGTACTTCTTCTCGTGTGTGCATTGCAAATCATACATCAGCATCCAGGTCCAATAACCACTGTCTCGCTACAAGGTCACATTTTGCTAGACGGGCAATTCCACCATTGAGTTTTCTCCTTAAGCACTCTTCCACAATGTGTTTCGCTGTCTGGTTACTAGCCCCACAATCACAAGCAGGTGTTGGCTTCATGTTCCACTTATGTAGCATGTGTGCTGTGCGACCATGGCCAGTAATCAGTCTGTTCAATCTGCACCAACTCTTTCGAGGGAAATTAAAGCCTGGTGGGATCTCTGTGGGAACCCGAAGGTTCTTTATATTGTTTTCTCCACTTTCCCATTTTATGGTCCATTTCTGTTATGCGATCTGTTCTGCAATAATATTTCGACGTGCTTTGGTAGTAGGTGGTTCACCTGCCAAGTAAGAATGTTCCCTATGAGAAAAAAATTACTGTAGTGTTGATAGTCTTGTCACACTGCTCGCACTACTACACCAATGATTTGTGCACCTTCTGACACCTAGATATGTAAATATAATTTTAATTTCTATGTTGAATTGCAATTACAGTTACTCCCATCTACAAATATGAATCATAAATTGAGGGCCTACAAATACAATTACAACATAATTCAATTACAATTTGCTTTTTTAAATACAACACCCCAACTGGAGACAAAAACGAATGAAACATGCGCAATTCAATAGTTTTAAAATCATAAAGTTAAAATATAGGCCTAAGTGCTTGTTAGCAGCCATCTGGTAGTTAGATTTACCAAGACTGTAATTGAAACATGGAATAATTATCAAAAGTATCAAAAACATTTCAAGAACTTCAGTGCGCAGCGCATTTTTGCATTTAAAACAAACAAAAGTGCTACTTACATTTCGTCAATAAATGATTACCCCATTTATTGACGAAAGACAATTTGGAAATCGCAAAAATTCCTCTGTAAACCATTACCTTACTAGCTTAATGCATTTCATCCATAGTGGTTTGGACTTGCCAAACAATATTGCTACTCTGATAGCGATTGATTATAAAAAAGCATTCGATTTAATAGACCACACAATTGCTGTGAACAAACTGATTGATATTGGAGCACCACGTGAATTAATCCCATGGATATGTGATTTTCTTTCGGAAAGGAAACAACGTGTTTCATATAACGGCGGTTTCTCTGAATGGCAAGGAATAACCTGTGGCGTACCGCAAGGTACAAAATTGGGTCCAATCATCTTTCAAGTTTTAGTTAATGACTCTCTCAGCGGTTATAATAACCGCTGGAAATACGTGGACGATTTAACCTTATGTGAGGTATATAAGAAAAATGAAGCACCTAGTCTACAAAATCAGTTAAATGAGCTCGCGCGTTGGTCATCTGAAAATAAAATGTCAATTCATCCAGAAAAAAGTAAATGTATGCATGTATCCTTCAATAAAACCGAACCTAATTTCCCAATCTTAAGTATTAATAGTAATATCGTAAGTGAAGTTAATCAAATAAAACTATTGGGGGTGGTTTTGAGCAATAATCTAAAGTGGGATGCCCATATTAACGAAGTGTTGTGTAAATCAGGTAAACGATTATACATGTTAATACGCCTTAAAAAATTTGGTATGTCTATAAACCAACTTAGACATATTTATACTTCATTTATCAGGCCTATAACGGAATATGCTCGCCCAGTATGGCATACATCCTTAACTACTAACCAAATATATGAATTAGAGATGATACAAAAAAGAGCCTTAAAAGTAATTTTTGGCCAGAACTATGTTTCATATCCTACTGCGTTACAAGCCCTAAATTTGACACAATTAGATGAGAGAAGAGAAAAACTTCTAATGAAATTTGCCAAAACGCTTAATGATATTGTGCCAAATTCAATTAGAAAACGGAGGGGTGAACTAAGTAAGAGGTCACTGAGAAGAAGTCAACCTTTCCATCAATTTGTAAACTGTTAAATAAGTGAGAGGTTGCCTTTTATTGCCATAATCTGTCTTTTTTACAAATGTGCTTTGTTACGATTGAAATGAATGTATTGGTGCTTGTTTGTTTTAAGTGATTATTATCTGATTTAAATAATTGTAAATAAAATTTTAAATAATTTTAGTGTATTATCTAATTTAAATAATTGTAAATACAATGTTAATTCCAGTGTAATATCAAATTTAGTGCCTTATTAATTTTTATTGGGATGTTGTTGACTTGTTTTTTTTTTTTATTTAATTCTAGTGTATTATCTGATTTAAATAATTGTAAATAAAATTTTAATTAATTCTAGTGTAATATCAAATTTAGGCCTTATTAATTTTTATTGATGTTGTTAACCTGTTTTAGATGTTATGCATTCGAATATTTTAGATATGTAATTCAAATTTAGCCAATTTGTTTTTTAAATATTTTCATTTGTTGTTGAGTTCAATCGTTTTAATTAGTTTATAATTGTTTTTTATGTCGAATTTTGTTAATATTTCTCAATTCAGCCTTTGTGTTGCCACGAAATATGTTTCGATGTGAATAAACCAGAATAAATAAATAAATAAAACAAATACAAGAATAGGGCGACGATAAGTCGCCCTTGTTATTGTTCGCACTAAATGCATCCGCTTGAACTGGCATTTGCTGTAATTGACTGGCATTCTTACAGACATTGTAGATATGTGGTTGTAGGACTTGTGTCTTTATCACTAGACCAATTGCATCCTTGTATTAATGTTGAAACCGAATAAAATAAAACAAACAATTTAAAAATGCTAGAATAACAACCTTGTAATGTGAAAGAAATAGGAACTAATCCTATATAGTTCTTCAGAATGTAAATTTTGTACTAAGTATTAAAATACCGATATAAAAATACTAGCTGCAGTTAAATAATTATCCACCACAAATTGATATATCTTAAATATTGTCATAAATTTTATCATTTTAGTTAATATTAAATCAGATTGCTATAAGGAGATATTATACATTCTTCTGTTTTTGCAATTATTTCAGGGGTATTGACGTTGTAAGAAACAAGATTAAAATGTTCGCACAGAAGAAAGTGACTTTACCTGTTGGAAGACAGAAAATTGTAATTCTGGATGAAGCAGATAGGTAAGATCTCTTATGATAATCACCAGTATCATCTTATTCTACTTAGTGTATTAAAATTTAATTTATAATTATTATTTGATTCTGTGGTAAGTTTTATTCAACTTTGTTATTTCGTTTGTTATATTTATAATTAATGACATTTCACTGATCCAACATACAATAGAAAAAAATAATAAGAATTAAGAAAACATGTACTGTAGAACTTTGAAAAATTAAATAATTATAAAAAAGAGAATTAGCTAATTTAAAAGTGTAAAGTAAGATACAGTCCGAAACAAGTTTAATTTTGCTGTTTTCATACCATAAAAACGTGAATAGCAGACCTATGGACTAATCTCAAGAAGAAGCCTTTCTCGAAATGAAGCCCCCTCTTTAGTTTGAAAAATAACCTCAAAAAGAAGCCCTCCTCAAGAAGAAGCCCATGGGCTAAGCTTCTATTCAAGATAGTCTGGCTTCTTTTCGAGATTTTGCTGTAGGGCTATTATACTGTAAATAAATTTCAAAGAAAAACACACTTTGTTAATTCAGTAGTTTAAGTCATTTAATCCTGATTAATACATTCCATGATACAGACTGTTATCTCTGATGTTGTGATTGGATAAAAATACTTTCCTGTAATTTAAAAAAAAAATTGTTTTCTTGTTTTTTAACAGGTTTTCTTGGTTGAAATATGTTTATACTAGTAGACATGTTGTTTAGTATTCATTTTGACAGTCCAACAGTCCTAAAAAAAAGAGGCCCAGGGCTTCTATTTGAGTTTTATGGTAACTGTTTATACAGTAACACAAATCCCATAGGAAGCATCACACTTTCATGTGCTTCAGGCTCCAAAATTGGAGACAGCTTCAGCCCTGCTCAGCCTTAATGGCTTCTGAAATGATTTTCTGTTTTTATTGAATATACTGTTTTACACCAATCTGTTTAGGCCTTAATCACAGCGTATTATTTCACAGCATGACCGATGGCGCACAGCAGGCTCTTAGGCGTACCATGGAGATCTATTCCAAGACAACTCGTTTCGCTCTAGCTTGCAACACTTCTGACAAGATCATTGAGCCGATACAGTCAAGATGTGCCGTACTTCGCTACTCAAAGTTGACAGATGAACAGGTCCTCAGTAGGCTGTTAGAGGTGTGTGAGGCGGAGAATGTTACATATACAGATGAGGGGCTGGAGGCGATCATCTTCACATCACAGGGTGACATGCGGCAGGTTGGGAAGAGTTGTCTCTTTGCCTTGTTAATAATAATAATGATGTCATTCACATTTATATAAAATTTAAAAAAAGTGTTAAAGTTCCAGATTTCCACACAGTTAAAACCAATAAGGATTTGTTCCTGGGGTGGCGCCAGGATTTGCCCGACGGTGTGTGGGGGGGGGGGAGAGTGCCAGATTTCCCTGACGAAAGCAAAGTGGGCGTGGTCGAGCTTCTCACCGACGAATTGTGTTTTTTCTCCCCGACAGGGGGGGCCAGCTCTCCTCTACCCTCCAACCCCCTCGCCCTGCTGGTGCCACCCCTGATTTGTTCCTTCTATATTTGACCCCTTCAGTACAGGAGGAGTGTTTAAGCTCCCCAAGAACAAAATTTAGCAATTTGCCCAATTTAGTATAGAATCAATTAGCCAAATATAAATTTGAATAGCAGCCACAGGGTTACGGGACTGTGGGGTACGGGACCTCAGGGGCAGAGAGATACCCAGAGTGTGGGTTTGCGGGAACCAGATTTTTTTTTGAATTGTTTGAAAAGTATGCAACCTTAACTTGTCTTTCCAAATACTATAGCATAAAAAGGTAGGAGTAATGGTAGTTTAATCTGTACAAGGCAGAGTACCCTTCACTCCTAAGACTTTTTTCAAGCTGTGCAAACTCCCACTCACAACAAGTCTTTACCTTTCCCAGTGTATTCGGGGACCCATTTAAACTCCTAGGTAGATAGTTAAAATACTCGCGACGACAAGGTTAAAGCTGGTACACACACTGCCATTTATGACCGCTGGTCGACAAATCTAACTCCGCTTCTGTGAGTGCTAGACGACGCGACACTGTCTGCTAATTGTCGGTTACAGTCTTAATGGATCATCATTAATTAACGATCCGTTGCGTGCGCGTTGTGGCCTTGCTTTCTCCATAGAATTGTGTCGGTCGACGACCATCGGGAACAATGAGTGCCCTGCTTTAGAGTTCAAGTCATAGCTGCCATGCCAACCGCTTCCACATAAAAATATATAATATAGTTTATTTCTATTATAATGTACCCATTTATTTTTGTAGGCACTAAACAATCTGCAGTCAACACACTCAGGTTTTGGACATGTGGACCCAGATAATGTATTTAAGGTTTGTACAGTCCTTTTTCTCTATTTTTTAGATTTATTATAAAAATGAATGCATATATTGAGGCTCTTTATAGTGAATTATTTATGTTTATACATTTACCAGCATTATATTGGTAGAATGTAAAAGCTGAATTTTACATCAGTTAACAACACATGATCTTTATATACAGTATGTAAATATTGTATATAACATTTCATATTGCTGTTTTATTATTGAGGCTTTTAATTGTAGTTTGTTATGCAAACACTCTTTGTCATGGGATTTTTTTTCTTCTACAACTTATTTCACACTTTGTATACTATCATTTTTACTTTTCACACCTTTATAGTATATTTTATGTCATCATCTACAATTACTTCTTGAATGCATTTCTAATTTTGTGACTGTCTATATTACATATTTATATACAGTAGAAATTCCTGGGATTTATAAAATCGGAGATCTTAAATACAGTTTTCTGCCCTATAATGTTTTAATAATGATTGAGATATTGCTATTTACCAAATTTATCAATCAAAAAACAACTCCATAGATGAAAAAATAAACTACAAAGTTGTTTTTGATTTTATTACTAATCTATCAAAAACAACTTCATAGAAAAAAACAAAAAAACTACAATCTAAAAGAACAACCTCCACAAAAAATTAATTTTTTCCCCTAATTTTTAGGTTTGTGATGAGCCTCATCCGGCTGCAATCCGGGACATGTTGGATCATTGCATTGCAGGCAACATCGATCAGGCTTACACTATCATGGCACATTTCTACCACCTGGGCTATGCGTCTGAGGACATCATCGGAAATATCTTTCGCGTCTGTAAAACACACAATATGGCGGAGTATCTTAAACTGGAATTCATCAAGGTTAGTTTTGACTTAAATTTAGTCACATTACTTAGTGAATATCTTCCAAAATTTCAATGTACTGAATAATTTTTATATCTTTGATATTTTTTAGTATATATTTATAAATATATATAAAGTATATTAAAGTACAGAGGTTGCTGCTAGGATTTGCCTGACAAGGAGTCTGATGTCCCGGATGAGGAGTGTGAGACGGTGTCCCTGGCAAGAGCATTAGTGGGCGTGGCCGGGCGTCGCTCAAAATCTCGAAACCAATAATTTAGGGGTTTCAAAGGCTTGTTTAATCAATTTTAGAGTCTATTAATATGTAACAAACATGTAACATTTTTTTCCTTTGACTAAATGTTCTATTGATTTGACTTTAAAAATTGTGTTTTTGCTTTCCGGCGGGACAGCTCTCCTGCCCCCCCCTCCCCATTTTCACCACCCCTGTTACAGTATAGTGAGTAGCATATAAACCTTATTAATTACACTGGGGGTTTATTCGCTGGTACAGCCACTGAAGAGTAATGTGGAAGAGAGGTTAGGACGAAGTGTACCTACAATGTATATATTGCAACTGTAGCCTGGTGAATAGCGATAAAATAAAATGATATATATAATGATCTTTTTTTATTGTGTTTTTTTGCAATACAGGAGATTGGATTCACAAATATGAAGATAACAGAGGGAATGAACTCGCTTCTTCAACTCTCTGGAATGCTGGCTAGGTTATGCAAGATATCAATGCCAACATGATAGTCATGAACTGTAATAAAAGAACACATGATAACATAACAGAGTGGGTGAACTCACTTCTTGAACTCTATAGAATGCTAGCCACGTTATGCCAGATATCAATACCAAAATAACAGTCATAAAATAGAATAAAAGCACTCTTGATGAAGTTAGTCATGGGGGTGAAACCATTTCACATGTTGTCGCAAGGGTTACTACAATTTTAATACCACTGTTATATTATGTGGTGATGTATCTGTTCAACAGCAGATTCTTGTGTTCAAGTTCTTTGACACCAACTTTGTTTTCTCATGACTTAAACAACTCGCTCTTTAAAACTTCATCAGCGTGTTGAGGCGATTTTATTGTGGAAAGCACTCTACAAATATTCTACCATTACTATTAAAGTTTAGGAGAGGTTTTTAGGGAAGGGGAATGTTCACTACCGGCTTTTTTCTTCACAGAAATAATTCAGAATTGAATACAAATGCTAAAGTGTAGTAGTATTTCATAACATATACTGTACTGAGTTTGAATCATACCATTATTGTATACTTATTTACCTGTATAAGGGAAACGCATTACAACTAGGCCTATTTAAAATACATTTTGGAAATACATGCCGCCCATGAATTTAAGTGGCGATTCACTTACTATTTTAGCATCCTCGATGGTTCGAAGCTCTGTTAAGACTTCTGTTTTTACATGTGTTCTTCATGTTCTTTTCATTGTCAACGCTGTCGCTCTTGGTAGTAAATTTTTGTTACCATGATAACAGATTTTTAGCAAGTTCGATTGGTTTGAAACTCTTAGTTTTCAATTCTCTGAGACAAACCACACTGTGGAGTGGTAATGCTTTTACTGTGAAGCATAAAGTGAGATTTTATAGTAGTGAAAGCATTTTAAAAGTATATATTATCAGCAAATCACAGGGAATTATTGCTAGCTTGGTAAACTTAACTTTGAACCACATTTAATGAAACTAAACAGACTAAAGGACAGGAAATCAAAGGATTTTTAAAAACATACTGACTACATGAAATAATGTATATGAAAATAATGTAAAATTATCATTGGTAAACATTGTGTTGTTTTTTTATTTTGACTAAAAAAACCACCTAAATATTTGTATAAGTATGTGTTTACGAATTTCAGACCATTTGTGGGATGACAGCGTTATAGTGACTGGGGTTGTAGAGAAAATGTGGGAGTTTATTAGGGACAATAATTAATACCTTTTTTCTTGCATTTATATTTAAATGAAATAAAAATGTAAAAGATGTATATGTTGATTCTCTAGTTTTGTTTGAGTGATAGTACTATACTGATAATAATAACGATTATGATTATAAAGATGGCGACACGACGACGACGATGATGATATTAATTACAGGGACTGTCTGTTCTTTCTTGCCTGTTAATCCTACCCACTCATTGGTGGTAATCCCGCTTTTTTCATACAACTCAACTGATATGAGCATAGAGAAAATAGAACTTCTCTATGATATGAGCTATGCATGGTCAGAATATATATATACATATATATGA